GCAGCAGTGCCACCACACTGCAGGCCTTAAATAAGGTTCTCCTTAATACACAGCTCTCTCCATCCATCGTGTCACCGATGACATCCAGAGTCAGGAGCAGGAATTGCTTCTTCCTAAATTCACAGCAGAGCGGGGTCAAGTTTGGGGTACAAAAGAAATGATTCCCCTGAAGTGTTTTTGTCAAGTTCAGTTGAAGTGTGGGTATCACCAGTGCCCAGCAGGCACTCCAGGCTCAGATCCCACTGACTCACATCCTGCCTACACCTACGTTTCCCAATCCTTTCCACATACCAGCACTCACATTATGAAAACTCCTGTGGGGGTTTTTTTTAACCACCTTAATTTCAGGACACCCTTTTTTCCCGTCAGGAAAAGCATAATCACAGCTCTGGTACTTTCCCAGAATGAAGACTGATTTCCAAACGTTTATTCTGCATCTTCCCTCCTTCTGTTTTGTCCCTTTCTCAAGGTTTCTACAGGAACTGAGCACTAAAACCTGACCAGCACTGAGGGATTGAATTCTCTAGAAAACCTCTATAAAAGCCTTAACATTTACATCAAACCCACTGCAATTTATATAACCTTGGGAAAGGAGACACGTGGGGGTTGATTATAAAATCAGCAAGGTCAGAAGTGGGTGTTTTGGCCCAGAACATGTGCTGGCTCAGCTCCCTTCAGGGTGTGCCCGTGGATGCCTTTGGTGCAGATTTCTGTGCAATTATCCCGAGTTTGTGGGGCACTCCCCACCCCCAAGGCAGGAGCGGGCACAGGATGGAGATCAGGGACACTTCAAGCCTGTCTCTCACCCTCCTCTGTGCCAAATTTCCATCTTTGTGCTCCCTTTCCACCCAGAACAGAGTGGGAGCAGCAGCAGACTGAAGGTTCCCGGTACGCCAAGGATCACGGGTGGAGCTATGGAAGTGGTGTGAGGGAAGAGGAGGGAGCTGACAACAAACAGCAGCCTGGCAGGGTGATATTTACTTGGTGAAATAATAATTTCACAATTACTATTGAGAATTGGGATTCTCTGAATAAGCCAGAACGCCCTTACTCCAACCCCAAAGTAAATTAGGAGCTTCAGGAAAACCTGTGGCAGGGAGAAGCCTGCAGCAGAAGTGGGTCAGGGTTGTAGAATTGATTCCCTGCCCCAAAGCTGGCCAAAAATATTCTGTTTATCCCCCCCCCCGGTGGATAAAAACACTTCAACCCGTAGCTTTGCCTAAATGCTTCCAAGGCACCCATTTCCTGATGATTTTACAAGTGGAATTCGAAGGAATTCGAACCTTGTGAATTTAACAGGTGATGAGCAACAGGCACTGAGGGGAAAAGAGACAGCCAAGTGAGGAAAGGTGGGAGTGGCCGGGTGGGAAGGGAGCAGTGCCGGGCGGGAAGGGAGCAGTGCCGGGCGGGAAGGGAGCAGTGCCGGGCGGGAAGGGAGCAGTGCCGGGTGGGAAGGGAGCAGTGCTGGGTGTGCACCTCCCGCTGCCCTTACCTGTGATTTATGGTGGCTCTGGCAGCACACTCCAACAAAGTCAATGGGATTTTCAGCTGGATGTTGGGCACCAGTGGGTTGGGCTGCTCAAAAGGATTCCCAAAGAGGTCCAGGTTCTCCAGAGAGAGCCTCCTGAAGTCGCTGGGCAGGAAGGGCAGTTTGTTGCGCGCGGCCGACAGGAAGCGCAGGCGGCTGAGCTGCCCGACCCTGCAGGGCAGCCGCACCAGCTCGTTGTCATCCAGCTTCACGTTGACCAGCCCCCGCAGCTCACAGAACTCCAGGGGCAGCGCTCGGAGCCGGTTCTGGCTCAGGTCCAGGAACTGCAGGGATTTCTGCAGGCTGGAGCAGCACAGGGCCCCGCTGAAGGACTCCAGGTGGTTGTCGTGCAGGTCCAGCTCCTGCAGACACACCAGGTCCCCGAGGGTCGCCGGCAGCTGCTTGATGTGGTTGTGGCTCAGGTCCAGCTTCCGCAGCTTCTTCAGGCAGAGCACGCGCGTGTCGACCCGGGCCAGTTTGCAGTAGGAGGTCTGCAGGTGTTCCAGGGAGTAAGGGAAGCTCTTGGTGAGGGGATAGTCCCTCCGGGAAGTTATGATCATTTTCGTCTTGGGTTTTTCCACTTCCGAGTTCTTTGCCGGGACCAGAGGGGAGAGAGGGAGAACTCCGGCGTCGGTGCCTTGGTGAGCCAGTCTCAGGGCTGAAAGGAAAGTCTTTAAATCGCTGGCATTTGCCTGCAGGAAAACACAGTTGTGCAGTTAAAAGCCCATTATCCTCCTGCTCGTTTGTTACTGACACCTCCCTGTGTGTATCAGGAGCTACCAACTCAGCAGGGCAATGGAATGGGACAGGGAACAGCTCTGTTTACAGCATTTAAGAACAAACACGACCTCTTGGAATAATCCAGATCAAACTGTGCTGCAGCACCCAGGAGAGGAACAAAGCACTGAATTCACAGCTGAAAATAAAGTACTGAAAAAAACCCTCAATGCCCTGGGATCTCCCTAAAATGCAACACGATAAAGGGACAGCTGTGAACACACACAGGGAAAATCAGAGGCCTAAAACCTGAGACAATTTCTGGAACTTGCTAGGAAGGAAAAAAGATGGAAGCTGGGAGTAAATTCATCAAAAGGAAGGTGGAAAGCTTCAAGGCAGGTTAAGTCAGTGCTTCTGGCCACACACAGCTCTGGCTGTGCCAGCAGGAAAATGGACCAAATAACTGACCAAATAATGCTTCAGGTGGGATATAACAGAATGGCAGCAGAATCCCAGAATGGTTTGGGTTGGAAGGGACCTTAAAGCCCATCCAGTCCCACAGGGGCACCTCCCACTAGCCCAGGTTGCTCCAAGCCCCATCCAAGCTGGCCTTGGACACTTCCAGGGATCCAGGGGCAGCCACAGCTTCTCTGGGCAACCTGTGCCAGGGCCTCCCCACCCTCCCAGCCAACAATTCCTTCCCAATACCCCATCTAAGCCTGCCCTCTGGCAGTGGGAAGCCATTAAAGCTTCAACTGACTCTCAGTAAGGACAGAGGTTCAGGTGACCTGTGTTTTAAATGAAGATCCAGAAAGCTCTGATGTATCTGTTGTACTGCTATAATTCACTTTTATGAACAGGAGGGCCACCAAATACTTCTCTTCTGCATTTTTCAGCAACTTTCTATTGGAGCTGATGTGCAGCTGACAGGCTCTTAAGCCAAAAAGTGAATTCTAAAATAAAAAGCACGTTGTATCCATAAAAGAAAAGAACAAACTTGGAGTTTTGGCACAATTCTGGGAGCCCAGAGGTTGTCACTCTGTTCCCTGCTGTGACTCACCCAAGCCCTGTGTCACCAAGTGGTGACACCACTTCTGCACCTGAAAGACAGTTTTGTTCCTAAATGTGTTTAGACCAAGTCCCAGAGGGTGTACATAATGTACACAGTGAACATAATGTACTATAAACACCCAGCACAGGATGTTGGATATAATTCTAGATGCTCATGGGAGATAAATTAAGGCAATAAAGATCCAACCTATTTGACTGCATATGCAGAATAAAAGCCTCAGTCACAGAAAGGATGTTGAGTAAAAGAGTTTAATGTGCATCGATGAGACATCTTAAATTTGGGTTCTGGGTATGGAGCATGCAAGAGGAATCTGGAATACTGTGAGATAAACTTTTTGACTTCTCACTCTCCACCAAAATTCAGATGAAAGGATGCAGAAAAGGATATTCTGGGTCTAATGCAACGTGCAAGAGCTTTCATTTTTGCAGGACACAGAGCACATTGGCTTCTGACAGGGAAAAAATTACTTGGATTTGGGCTCCTCCTTTTCCATTTAACCCTTTCGACAGGTTCATAACATTTAGGCTGCCTTCCACAGAAAAACAACAGAAAGTCAAACTGCTTTCCAAACCACCAATCAACGTTATTTGCCTTTGTTTACACATCCTGACTCAGAGGTTTCAGAAAAGAACTCTGAGGTTTAGGAAAACCTGTCCCACTTCCCTCTGCTACAGGGCCACAAAACATTCCTGCTACAGGCACAGAAAGAAGCGACAAGAAAATTTACTGTTAATATGTGATTTTTAGGGTGAGTTTAAACGTTATTAAAAACCACTTTCTCCTGTGAACTGCAAATAAATACACTGTGTTGGCATTAAGTGGGATGGTGCCTTTGCCCTGACCCAGGTGTGCTCTGAAAGCCACAATGGGCACTGATTGTCCACAGAAATGAGAGTAATCTCCTTTTTTTTCCCATTAGAAAGAAGGTAAGGAACAACTGTTTAATGGAATTTAAGGCCAAGCAGCAAGACTGTATCAGAGGGATGAAAAAAAAGAAAGTTTCTCTCTAAAGCTGGGAAGAACAACACAAAAATGGACTTTTCTGCTCAGAGAACATAGCCCAGAGAAGGGGGAATGGCTTCAAACTGAAACAGAGCAGAGTTAGATGGGACATTGGGAAGGAATTCCTGGCTGGGAGGGTGGTGAAGCCCTGGCACAGGTTGCCCAGAGAAGCTGTGACTGCCCCTGGATCCCTGGGAGTGTCCAAGGCCAGGTTGTCCGGGAGCAACCTGGGCTGGTGGGAGGTGTCCCTGCCCGTGGCAGGGGGTGGTATGAGACGGAATTTGATATCCCTTCCCGCCCCGCGGTGCCGGAGCCCTCCGGCTCCCCCGGTCGGTCCCGCACGCACCTTGCTGAGGCGCAGATCCACCGCGGGCTCCCGCAGCCGCACCGTGGCCTTTCCCTGCTCCACGAACCTCGTGAAGAGCCGCTCCACGTTCTGCTGCACCTGCGGGCACAGCCGGTCAGCGCCCGCCCCGGGCCCCCCCCGCGCCCCGCCCGGCCCCGCCGTGCCCACCTTGTAGCGGGCCCCGGTGCGGTCCCGCGCCGTGCACACCATCAGGTAAACACCGCCACCGCCACCGCCCGGCGGCCGCCCCAGCGACACCAGCGCCCGCGCCGCGCGGCCGCGGCCCTGCAGCCCGCAGCTGGGCAGGAGCTGGCTCAGCACCTCCACCTCGCACCGCAGCCGCATCCCCGCCCCGCTCCTGGTGCTGCTCCCGGCTCCGATCCCGGTCCCGGCACCGCCACCGGCCAGCGCAGGGCGGGCGGCGCCGCGGGGGCCTCCCGCAGTGTCCGCGCGCAGCTGCTCGCCGCGCTGCCTGCCCGCGGGGATGCCGCCCGCCGCCGTGTGTGCCCGCCGGGATCGCGGCCTCGCTCCCGGTGAGGGAGCCCGGTGAGGGAGCCCGGTGCCCGCGGGCGGGACCGCGGGGAGGGAGTGGAGAGCGGCGGCACCGGCGGCACCGGCGGCACCGGCAGCGCGGGGCCAGACCGCGGGGCCCTCGGGGCGGGGCCCTCGGCGCGGGGCCCTCAGTGCGGGGCGATGGCGCCCCCTGCTGGGGGCGGGTGGCGCATGTTGGCGGGAACGGGGCAAGGAGGGGAGAGGGAGGGGACGGGACATGGAGGGTGTGGATGGGACACGGGGGATGTGAGGGGACATGGAGGGTGTGGATGGGACACGGGGGATGTGAGGGGACATGGAGAGTGTGAGGGGACACGGGGGATGTGAGGGGACATGGAGAGTGTGAGGGGACACGGGGGATGTGGGGGCATGTGGGGGGGTATGAAGGGCAGGGAGTGTGAAGGGCCATGGGGGGTGTGAGGGGACACCGGGAGCTGAGGGCTGGTGAGTGTGATAACAGCTCAGGCTTCCTAAACGACAGGAGGAAGCGGCGGGAGCGCTGTCGGTGCAGCCGTGTCCGCCCCGAGGGCACGAGGGGGATGCGGCCATCGCTGCCGCGCCTCACTCCGCCCAGAGCCGGCTCCCACCGCGCTAACCAGGACTGGGAGGGAAACAAAATAAACCAGTGGCCCCTTTCAGCGCTGTTTCATCACGTTTATTATTTAACGACACGATCTGGGCTTGGAGATTGGCGGCGTGCTGTTAATTTTTGGCCGAGCGGCGGGTGTGCGGTGGCGCTCGGGCCCATGAGGAGGCGCTGTTGGTGTGGGGTAAAATGGGGTGGGTGCGGGGTCAAATGGGGTGGGTGCGGGGTCGTGTGGGGTGTCGGGGGTGGTTGCGGGGCAAAAGGGAGCCCGCGTGTCTCTGTGTTGCCCAGGCTACGCTGCAGGGCCTGTTCACAGGCGCGATCCCGCTACTGACCGCCACGGGAGCTTTGACCTGCTCCGTCTCCGACCTGGGCCGGTTCACCCCTCCTTAGTCAACCTGGTGTCCCGCAGCTCCCCGCGGGTCACCATATTGATGGCGGCCTTAGCTTGGACGCCCGCTCGGCACAGCGCCCTGCAGCCCAGAACTCCTGGGCTCAAGCGATCCGTCGGGCTCAGCCTCCCCGGTAGCTGGGACTACAGGCGCGCGCCACCGCGCCCGGCGCTCCCCCCTCCGGCACAGCGGCCATACGGCTCTCACCGCCGTGACGTCACGGGGCGGGGCGACAGCGGGAGCCGCCCCACGGCTCGCGCGGCTCTGACGTCACGGAGAGGAGGGATCCCCCCACAGCCCTCCCAGCGGTGACGTCACGGGCTGGTGTGTGTGTGTGTGGAGCGGTGACGTCACGCGCGGCGGGAGCCCGCGCCGCGGTGCACGCCGGGAGCCGCCGTGAGGGCTTTAAAGGTGGGGACCCGCCGCCATCTTCCTCTCGCCGCCGCGCAGCCATGGGGCACCAGCAGCTCTACTGGAGCCACCCCAGGAAGTTCGGGCAGGGCTCCCGCTCCTGGTCAGTGCCACTCCTTGGGCAACCGCCTCGCTTCTCTTCCCCTTATCCCCCTTCCCCATATTCCTCCTCCCTATATCCCCACCCCTCACAACTCCCCCTAGCCGCCATTACCCGCCCTGACGCGCCGCGCTCTCCTCTCCCCTTCACAGCCGCGTGTGCTCGAACCGCCACGGCCTCATCCGCAAGTACGGGCTGAACATGTGCCGGCAGTGCTTCCGCCAGTACGCCAAGGATATCGGGTTCATCAAGGTGAGCCGCGGGACGGGGCGGAGGGCTGGGGGGGGCCGGTCCCCGCTGACACCTCTCTCCCTCTCTTGCAGCTCGACTGAGCGCCCGGAGGATGAGGAGACAGCCGGGAGCTGCCGGGGCGTCCCTGGGCCTCCCTGGCACATCCGCAGCGTTCCGGCTCAGCCTCACTCAATAAATGCTCTCCCAACCCAACTGCTCGGTGCGTGTTTCCTTCTGTAAAGGTTTGAGTGGCTGCAGGGGCTCCTCTCCCTGCGATGGTGTTCTCAGAACACGGGGGACTGTGCTGGGGCTGCCCTGGTGCCCTCGTTCCCTGCCTACAAAACCTGGTGGTCTCGATGGTGTTTGATGTTCGTGTGATGCCCCTGAGCCTTCAGGTTTGCAAACGCCAGGAATGGTGAGCTTGGAGTGGTTGGGAAGTGTCTGACCAGGCAGTCTGCTGGAATGTGGCTGCTGGTCTTGGAATTGTGGAATAACTTGGGCTGGGAGGGACCTTAAAACTGATCTCTTCCCACTTGCTGCCATTGGCAGGGACACCTTCCACTCTCCCAGGTTGCTCTAAGCCCCGTCCAACCTGGCCTTGGACACCTCTAGGGATAGAGTAATCACGCTTCCTCTGAAAGGAGTGAATTAATGTGGTTGTAGCCACATACCTCTTCCACTTCATCCAACGTTTCCCGAGGTTTCCAGGCACATAACAGTTGTAATATGATGGGAATGAAAAGGGTTGTACAAAGGCCTGGAATTAGGCTTTCAAATTCCCTTAAAGGGGGGGCGGGGATTAAAAGTGTCCAGGTGCTGTCCTGCTGTTCAGGCTGGGTTGGGAGCACCTCAGCTGAGGCCCCACTGCTGTGTGTGGGGTGACTGAGCAGGGGAATGCTTTGCTCACACCTGGGATGGCACATGGCTGATCCCTCCCAGCTGAGTGCTCTGCATTTCCTTTGGGAATCCCTGATTGCCTGTATTTTGTGTCCCTGGTTATTAAATTAACAAGGTGGGGCGGTGAGGAGGGAATGGGAACAAACCCACTTGTGCCCTTGGCAAAAGCTGGAGGGCCGTAGGGATGATCCCAGGGATGGTTTGGGTTGGAAAGGACCTTAAAGCCCATCCAGTGCTACCCCCCTGCCATGGGCAGGGACACCTCCCGCTAGCCAGGTCGCTCCAAGCCCCGTCCAACCTGGCCTTGGACACTTCCAGGGATCCAGGGGCAGCCACAGCTTCTCTGGGCAACGGGTAACATGGTGTTGGCAGCAGCAGCACAGAGCTCAGGGAGCTGCTTTTCCCCTGATTGTCTGGATAAATTCCCTCTGAGCTCTGTGCTCCTGTGAGCAGCTGGTTTAGGAACTCTGAAACTAAGGAAACTTGGGAAAATGTGGGAAGTAACTCACAAGTGTGACAACGTGAGTTAGAGCAGCTCTACCTGGGTTAATGCATCCAGTGCAAAGGCAGTGGGGACAAATGTCCTGGGAAGAGGGTGGGGATAGTTCATGGCTGGGGTCAGGAAGGCTGAGGGTCACTTGGAGCTGAGCTTGGCAAGGGATACAAAGATGAACAAGAGCTCATCCAGCCAGGGAATATTTTTACAGTGAGGGTGGGGAGGCCCTGGCACAGGTTGCCCAGAGAAGCTGTGGCTGCCCCTGGATCCCTGGAAGTGTCCAAGGCCAGGCTGGACGGAGCTTGGAGCAACCTGGGCTAGTGGAAAGTGTCCCTGCCCATGGCAGGGGGTGGAACTGGGTGACTTTAAGGTCCTTTCCAACCCATTCCATGATCTGGGGAAAAGGTGGTGTTACCATCCCAAGAGTTGCTGCCGGGGGATTAAACCCACAGCGAGTTTACAGGGGAGGAACAGCAAAATCCTGAGACACAAAATGAGGTCAATTCATAGATAAAACCTGATTATAAAATAAAGGGTGACTGTGGATCTGCCTTGCCCGGGATTTCCATGTTCCCTTTTACTTGGGCAACTGCTGTTGGACCGAAGAGATTCCTGGGAGGGTTCCTACATTCCATCAAGGTGCCAGTTCCAAAACGCTGTTCAGGGCAGTGCTGCCCAGCTGGGAAGGTGATGGTGAGGAAGCAGCTTCCTTTTCCTGCTCTTCCTACCAAAGCCAGCCCTGTGTGGCACAGGGATTTGGCATCACTGGGAGCTCTGCCTGCTGCTGATCCAGATTTGGTGCTGGATTAGGGAAGGGTCGACCTTGCTGCAGCTGGGGATGGTAGGGCCTCTCATTTTTTGGGTGAGAAATGGTTAAATCCTGGTTCTTATTGGAAAACCATTCATTTAGAAGGTTCTACACTAAAAAATAAAGAGATTTAGTTGCTCTGATGGTGGGTTTGGGCCTTTTTCTCCCCAATTTCTGTGGATGGACACAGGGAGGTGACTCCTGTAGGCAGTGTTCTGTTTGGCTTTGGTGTGATCCTGAAAATTCAGAAAGCACCAATTGCCTTTTTAACCAATTAACGAATTTCTTGTGCTTGGAGGGGTTCTAACTGAGGTGTAAAATTTGCAGAGAAACACAAAATCAGCGAGTGAAGATGGAAAATGTCAGGGGGAATCCGCGTGTTCCTGTCCCCACCAACGTGTTGGAGGCAGGAGGATGCTCCCAGGCTTTGGAAATGGCAGCAGGATCAGAATGATTTAAATTCTCAGAGCTACAGGAGCCATTTGAGCTTGGCAGGGGGGTTTCACTTCGTGAAAGACACTTTGGTGCTGGAGCCCCAGATGTTCTCCGTGCCAGAACATCTTTTCATCACCTACATGATGCAAACCAAACACAAATAAATAAAAATAACACAAATACATTACCAAATAACTGGGGATGGTAATTCCATAGCAGCTTCCTGCTAAAAGCAAGGCTAAAACACATTTTTAAATTACTTTGTACACGTTCAAATACCTGAATTGGCACACTGTAATTTTGTAAAAGCTTTTTCCCTATTCTATTTATCCTGCTTTTTAACTCTAGGGAGAAAGTGGTGTAAGACAACCTGTAATTCCCTTTTACCTTATTGCTGCCTTAACCAGGTATTTATTGCTTAATATACAGTGAAGAAGAGGTGCCAAAACCTTGAATTTTCTGAGCTCATCATGAAAATTGCATTTTGTTTCCCCCTAAAGCTGGCAGTTGCAGCCTCTGAAGGTTCACAGACGTGAAGCCTGAACTCAATTTGGATGCAAAATGATTTATAAAGAGCTGCTGGTTCCCCTAAAGAGCAGCTAAAATCAAAATACTCTTCAAGGACTTTGCATTAATGGTGAACAACTAATACAGGTTTTCCTGCAGGGAAATAACGTTGCCTACAAGGAAAAGGTAGAGATGCCTTGGCTTTCGGAGGGATGAGCCTCCAGTGGCTGAAATTGAGTTTATGGGGGATTTGGATCCCTGAAAAAACCCCACTAAAGTGCATTAGATTATGCACCAGATGAAATCTATGGTTGCCAGAGGCTCCAGGAGGAATTTGCAAGGCTTTGGGTAAAACACTGGCTTCTAAACTTCTCCTTAGGCTGGAAAATGAGCCTCTCTGATGTGCTCAGGTGGGAAAGCAGGGTAATTCCTGCAGGAAATTTGGGACAGCACCAGTGTTGGGAATATCTTGTGATGACCCTCCTGGTGCAGAGGAGACCTTGGACTCCCTGAGATGGGATTTATGACCGGGGATGATCCTCAGGTTTTTCCTTCTTCCAGCGCTTCAAGGTGAGTTCCAGGTGGATCCCAATCACCTGGATCAGGATCTGGCTGCTCCTCTGACCAGGGTTCACTTCCCCAGCTGTGAGACCGGGATAACACTTCCTGCACCATGAAATGGGTTGAAGCAGCTTGTCCAGGGACATGGATATTCCCAGTATTGGCATTCCTGAATTCCTGCAAGGAGCAAACTCCACCTGAGGCTGCTCCGACA